GCCCTCCTCCCTGCCTCCCCTAGGCCCCGGCCCCCGCCTGCCTCCCGGCTCACCTGCACCCCGCCCCCGCCGCTCCCCCGCCTCACCCTTGTCCGTGCGCCTGCGGAAGGACAGCTTGCGCTTGCGCTGCCGATTGAAGCCGCCCTCCAGCTCTGCACTGCCGGGAGAGCCAGGGATCATATTGGTCTGCAACCGAAAGCGGTGTCAGGGCCTTTGCGCGCCCTCCCACCCTGCCCGGTCCCGCCCAAACCCCCTCATTAACAGAAAAGGTGGGGCTGGGAGTGCCGGCTCTGGGAGATTGACTTCTGTCCCAGGACCAGGGCTGAGACTGGTATTTTTCACAACCTGGTCTGACCCAGCTACCGTTTGACAGGCAGGGAAACAAGGCCAGAGAAGGTCACACAGGGAAGGGGCAGCCACCCAGCGTGCAGCCTGCCACGCCTCCCACTTACATCTCGCAGATTGAAGGTGATCTCCAGGCTGGACCAGAAGTGGTCAGAGAACTCGGGGTACATGTCCAGCACCTCCAGCAGGTCGTCCCGGTGGATCTTGTGCAGGTCACAGTAGGTGAGGGCCCGCACATCCCCGTTGGACTTCCCAGGCCTTGCATACAGGTTCAGAGGCTCTCCGAAGATGTCATTCTTCCCTGGAGGCCACCAAGAGGGGGGCTCAGCCCCTGGGGTGGCAGCAGAGGCAGCAGGCACCTGTCTTCTGGGCATTCTCACCCTGGGCCAGGCACCTCCCCTCAGTCTGGTCAGCAGCCTCCAGAGCCAAGGAAGCATCAGCCAGCCCCATCCTCCCGAGGCTCCCAAAGGCAGGACATGTGCGGAGCCCCAGGGGTAAAGGGCCAGGAACCTTGTGCCTCCCAGCTACTGGGCCAGCCAGCAGCTCCAGCCCAGATGCCGGGCTCTGCCCATGGCCCTGGCTTCCTTGGGTTCCAACTCTACTTGTACTCCCCAAAGCCCATGTTCCAAGCACCCTCCTGGCCAATTCCTACCTCCTCATTAACTGTTCTTCAAACTACAGATCATAACACAGTAGTGACTCAAGACCAGCATTTTGTTTACTGAAAGAAAATACGGTAGCACAGCTACAGCACAGCACAAAACAGAAACCGCCAGAACGCAGTACGGCAGCCGGTGTCCGGCAAAACTTTGGTTTTAGTTGTGTTTGGGGGCGTTTGTGGCATGAGTGTGTGTTTATGCTGAACTGAGAAGTCAAAATCTAAAAAGACCCACCGTGACATATCTGCCCTGAGGTGTCCAGGGCCAAGGGAAAGACAGGCAGAGGGCAGGAAGTCCCCAGTGCCCGGGCACACCTGCCCACGTGCACAGGGAGCGGGGAAAGCAAAGGGTGGGAGGGGAAGAGGAGCAGGACTCCCTCGGCTTGGGACGCGAGGGCTTGGCTGTATTGCCTGAGGCTGCAGGGAACCACGTGGCCCTTGGTAAAATCAGATGCATAGCCTGTCTCCACTGCCCACCTTGGAGCATCTGGATTTGGTCCTGTTTTAAGGAGCAAGAGTGGCACTGCCTATGAAGAGACCCCAAATGGAAGGCCCCAGAATTCAGCAGCCCACCCCATGCGGGGCTCCTCTCTGCCACGCCCCTGGAGAGCCTGAGTTTAAGTGAATTAAAGGAGCTCAAGGTCCCAGTGGGCAGTCCCCAGTCCACAGCCCCCAGGGCTATGTCCTTCCAGGGCTCGGACCTCTCCAGGCCTCAGCAGGCAGTTCAGGCCCAGCTCCCGGTCCCCGCCGTACCCAGGATGGCCACCACAACATCACCCCGCAGGATCTCGATGGAGCCCCGGGAGATGAAGTAGAGGGCAGTGAGCAGGTCCCCAGCGTGCACCAACGTGTCCCCTGGTGGCGCGTGCGTCGTCTTGAACTTCATGGCCAGGGCCCGCAGGCAGCCCTTGGTGGCCCCTCGGAAGGGCTTACAGTGCTGCAGCAGCGAGCGGTTCAGGTGCAGGCAGATGTCAGCCTGCAGGCACTCGGGGAAGCCCTTCAGCACCTGGGGGAGGGGGGCTGGCTCAGCATGCCCTCTTCTGGGACCCCACACCCACCCCCTACCCAGATGTCCTGCAGGAAGCACCAGAGCATCCAGCATGGGGCCAGGGACCTGGGTGCCCATTCCAGCTCCACCCATCCCACCCCTTCTAGCTGTGCAGCCCTAGGGATGACGCCTCACTGCTCTAACCTCCAGGTTCTTATGTGTGAGGTGTGGAGACCAGCTCCTGCCTGGGGCTCTTGTAAGGATTAAAGATGATCACCTAGAGCCTGGTCTGGCCCCCGCCCCAAAGTGAGAGCTCTCCCCGTTAACAAGCTCACAGGCAAAAGGAGGGTGACGTACCTCTCAGGGTCCTCCCCAGTGCTAACTGGGACCTCCTGAACATGGAGTGTGACTCTGGTGGGCTGATCCGTGCTCACTGCACCAAGAGGAGTCCCCACGGTCACCCTGCTCCCTCCAGTCCCCACCAGCCCGTGGCCAAGCGCAGTGGCCTCACCGCGTTCATGTCGATGCCATTGGTGTAGGACCAGGCATGCTGGAAATACTCTTCAAGGCGCTGGCGCAGTGGGTTGGGGATCTGGTGGAAGCGGATGAACTCCCGCACACGGAGCATCTGCGTGTGGTAGCGGGCCGTGCCCGAGTACAGCCGCTGGATGATGGCCGACACATTGCCGAAGATGCTGGCGTACATGAGGGCTGGGAGCAGGGTGATGGGGCCGTCAGTATCTGAAGGACCCCAACCGCCCTTGCCCTGAGTCAGGGACACATGCAGTCATGTCTCAGTGTGAGCACACATTCGTGATGCACACACACAGACGCCCAGGCACACCCGCCCCTCCGCTCTGCCTTGTGCCTCTACCCTGGTGTCCCAGCACCCAAATGTGCCATGATGGAGGCCCCTGGGACTTAGAGACCCCACTCTGGCTCATCTAGCACCCTCCCTCTCCTCTGTCCCGGGCTCTTTCTAGACCCTGGGCCACTGGCTTTTCCTACCCCCAGCCCCGGGGGCACTCACAGCCGATAAGCATGACACAGATGGAGAAGATCTTCTCGGAGTTGGTGTTGGGGGAGACATTGCCGAAGCCCACGCTGGTGAGGCTGCTGAAGGTGAAGTAGAGGGCGGTGACGTACTTGTCCTTGATGGAGGGGCCGCCCAGGCCGCTGCTGTTGTAGGGCTTGCCGATCTGGTCGCCCAGGTTGTGCAGCCAGCCGATGCGGGAGTCCATGTGCGGCTGCTCCATGTTGCCAATGGCGTACCAGATGCAGGCCAGCCAGTGCGCGATGAGTGCGAAGGTGCACATGAGCAGGAAGAGCACGGCCGCCCCGTACTCCGAGTAGCGGTCCAGCTTCCGCGCCACGCGCACCAGCCGCAGCAGCCGCGCCGTCTTCAGCAGCCCGATCAGCTGGAAGCAGGGGGGGGGATATTCAGTGTTGGGGGCAAATGAGGAGTCGGGGCTCTGTAGCCCTCGGGGGTGGTGGCAGGGGGCAACGGAGGTGAGATCTCCAAAGACTTCCTCCCAGAACCTCTTCATAATAGAAGCACCTCCCAGGCGATGGGCCCAGCACAGAGTCACATTAATCTTCGTGCTAGCTCTGTGACAAAGGGCTCACGGTCCCCATGATGAGAATGAGGAAATGGGCTCAGAAAGGTGCACCCACCCTAAGATGCCTGGCCAGAGGACCCACTAGCTTCCAGGGCACTTTCGTGGGACTCAGAAGCCAGTGGCCACTTTGGACAGGCACATTAGGAAAAGGGGAGCTCTCTGGACCTCTAAAACCAGGGAGAAGCTCATATGGAAAGGAGAGCAGGCCCAGATTAGCTAGGGCACCTGCTGTGGATCTGCGGCCCTCCTTCTCTCACAACCCCCTTGGCCTCACCACCTCCCACCTGCTTCCCTCCTTTCTCCCCTGCGTCCCTGCCAACCCACCTCCTCAGAGCCAGAGCCGAAGATAAGTAAGTCAAAGGGGATGGCAGCCACCATGTCGATGAGGAACCAGCCCTTGAAGTAGTGGACAGCGATGCGGCCAGGGTGGCTGACCACCTCCTCGTTGGCGTTGACGTAGGTGGTGCGAAAGTTGATGAGGATGTCCACGATGAACATGATGTCCACGATGAGGTCCACCACAGCCAGCGGCTGGCAGGCATAGCCACAGTCGGGGCCCGCGGAGCCCTCTTCGGTCTCCTTCAGCAGGAAGGCAGCCGAGTAGGGGGTGAAAACGGCCGTGTAGATGACCAACAGCAGGATGAGCCAGTCCCACACAGCCTTGAAGGGGCTGTAGTGCAGGATGGTCCAGCGGTGAATGCGCGGCGCCTGCAGCTTGTACTCTGGCAGCACGTCGGCCCCCAGGGACAGGACCTGAACGGGCAGGGAAGGTGGAGGCGAGCGCATGATGTCCAGCTGGGGTCCCAGCACAGGAGGACAGGCCACAGGCCATCCAGGGTAGGAGCAGGTGACATCTCTGCTGTGCCCTCCAGAGAAGAGGCCAAGTAGTGTCGGGGCCGGGCCTACACTCAGCCAAGTGGCCACAGCCACTGACCACCCCTTGACTGGGGCACTACAGTTCCCCATGCTGCACAGGACCTCTTGGCCAGCCACCTGAGTCCAGGGCACCTCACAGTAACACCCACAAGTACTCCCCCCACCAGCAATGCAGACCCATAACTGGGGATATAACTCCCACCATGAGATCTTGCCTGCCCCCTCACCCAAGACCACATATACACACGTGCACACAAGCATGTCCCACATACACCACGGTCCAGAAAATGCTCCAATGACCACATCTCCCAGCCTAAGCGATATAAATGGTGGCAGTCACTGTAGTTCCTTACAAGTCCCACTGCTGGTGGTCCAGGGACTGAGCCCCTAATGTCCCTTCATGCCACTGGCCCAAGGACCCAGCCACCCAGATCCAGGTCCCCTGGCATCCGGGGAAGAGAGACCAAGACACTCCCACCCTCCCCTTACTCGCCCTGGACCAGAGCAGACGTTCAGAAGTGACCACCCAGCCTGCAAAGGCTCACCTCACGTCCTGCCTCCTCCTCACTCAGGCAGAGGCAGGCTCGCCACCCAAACCAGGTGGCAGTAGCCACGTCACCCTTTCTCCCCAAACTAGGCAGAGCTGAAGACAGCTTTCCCACACTGTCCCAGGAGCTTCTGTCTGTCCCCCTGTGGCCTCCCCCTACCCCTCAGAATCCCCAGACTTTCCCAGCCTGGCCCTGTCTTCCCTGGGCAGCCAAACCCAAGGCTCCCCACCCCCTTGAGAGCCAAGGTTGAAGACCCCACGGGAGCAGCACTAAGTGTCAGGGCCCCGCATCCTCCAGCCTCTGTGCAGTGGGTGGAGCCCCAAAGATTCCCATTTATAGTCAAGCTGGGGATTCCCCTGCAACCACCGCCCGCCCCCCCCCAGGTGGGCTTCAGAGAACATCTCCTTAGAAGAAGTAAGTAGAAGTTAAGACGGGCCATAGTTAGGGGCTTAGCCACCCTGGGGTGGCCACAGGGGCTCCAGAGGCACATGATGAGGGTGGCTGGGAACATCTGAGGCCTGCGGCAGAGGAGGGAGCATGTGGCTTCCAGGTCCCCACTTCTGCCCTGCTTTCAGCCCAAGCCACCTGTTCCTTAAGGCAGAGAACATGGGGCAGTGACCTTTGGGGAGTCAAGTGGGTACTGAAAAATTGGAACTGACCAGAGCCCTCGCAGACTAGGAAGCGAAAGAAGGGGCTCCTTGCCCGGCTCTCCGGGGACTGTGCTGGACCACACCTGACAGATGTGGTCCTGCCCCTCCTCCCCGAGTCTGCCCACAGCAGGACTAGCACCACCCCAATGTACAAACACACACAGACACACACATACACACACACACACACACACACACACACACACACACACACACACACACACACACACACGAGACAAGCCCAGAACACAAGCCCTGGACCCACAGACCTCATCCTACAGGGGCTAGGCTCAGCCCTGGAACCACCAGTTTACCATACGGCCTTGGGCCAGCGTGCAACCTCCCCTGACCTGCCAAACCCTGGTTCCTCACCTGTGGCCGAGAAGACTCTCCCCCACAACTGTCCCCCAGCCGCGAGGAGCGTAAGAGCCAAGACAGACAGCTCAGCTGCCAGGTGGGAGTCTCAGACTCACCCCTGAGCCACTCCAACGCCCCCCTGCCATCCTCCCTGAGCTTGCTCCTGGCTCTCTCACAGAAGCCCCTGGGGGCAGAGAGGTGGCTCCCAGGAGGTGCCTACACAGTCATCAGCCTGGGGAGCCACCAACACCTCAGGCTGCCCCAAAAGAGGTGAACCAGGTGTCCCAGCTCAGCCTGCCCTCACTACTCATCCAGTGGCCTCTGACCCCCCAGCCTCCTCAGACTCCAGGCCCCAAACCTAGACCCCAGAAGCAGCCCACACCTCCCTCGTCTACCACAGGGTTCACCCCAGCACACGGAGTGCTGGAGGGATGGAGCCCCAGGGCATCCAAGCCAGGCCGGGCTGCTGCCCGCCAGCCCTCCCACTCTCCCAGCCTGCTGAGGGAGGTGGGGTGAAAGCAGGAGGCACACTCTTCCCCCATCTCCCCACCATCCTCTCTGGGCACCCATTTCATTCCTGTTCCCCTCTCTTCCTTTTACGTCTCAAGCTAGAAGACTGGACCACGGAAGCCCACGGAGAGCAGAAGCCCTGGCAACGAAAACACTGTCCACCTAGCCTGGCAGGCCTGGGAAGAGCAGGCTGGAGCCAAGAGTGGTATGAATGGGGCCACAGACCCCATGGCTCCCCAAACCATCCTGCATTTCTGAAGCCCTCTCCCCGCCTGGAACCAGAGCCCTCTGGGCCACATCTGACTTGTGGTCTCAGTGCCCCAGCCCCGGAGGGAAAGGGAGGGACTGGGGGATCACCTACCTCCTGGGCCACCAGGCTGGAGATGCGTACGGCCCGTCTCACCCGGCCTTTCTGGGCCCTGGGCTGCAGGGCCCCTGTCCCGCTCGCCTTCCCCGCTGGGGCTGCCATGGAGGACTTGGCTCCCCCCAGCCTGCCTGCCCTGGGGCCCTAGGGCCCAGCCAAGCACCTCACCTGCTCCCCAACAGCAGTCCCAGCCCAGGCTGTGCCCCAGAGACTGGCGGCCTGGCTCCCGAGGCAGCCTCTGGCATAAAGCCAGGGTCGCCAGGGCTGGATCTCGGGGCTGGGGTCACCCTGGCAGTGAGCGTGGATAGCGGCCCGCCTGGCTCGGGCTGCCCATGGCCCCCTGGTGCGGGCCCCGCTGCCAGAGTGCCGCGC